TAAACAATAAACCTCGAGCAAGAGTGTTGTCACACCATAAAGTGGTCCCTTCAAATAGAGCACAAACAAATGCTCTTTTGGTAGTTAATTTTTGTATACAGTAGAGCGTATCGGGCATCTATAGTCGGCGCCATTTACCAAATAGTGTCGCTCGAAAACTTGATCAGGAGTTGTATTCAGAGTAGCTGTTGCATTTGTCCGAAAGAGACCCTCAACTATTTAAAACAAAGTCAAATGTAGTATTTTCTGGTCAATATTGATATTTAATACAGTTTTCACAGAACATTGATATAAAAGGAAATGTGGGAAAATATAGTGTCAAGTTTCATGTGAAACGTCGTTTAAATTTGTAAGTAAAACTTTCTTGAAAATTTGCTTCAGAGTTTACAATGACTCGCATTTTTTAGAAAATCTAGACAAAGATATCTGAGATAAATGGATGTGTACACTGGGATTTTACCATTATTTTAGATTTTATATGAATTGTATTCGATGTAATAAATTATGTTGATAATAACAGTAGATCTAACTATATTTATAAATATTGTTCATAAATACTAACTACATATTATTTAAAAGATTAAATGAACAATAAATAGTTAATGTATGTTATATTATTACAATAGCGTAAAATCACCCCAGTCAAAGAAAAAAAATGCATATTTTTTAATCGAAGTCAGTGAACAACAATGATTTGTTTAAATCATTAATTTCTTTTGAGATTAACTTAAGAGTGCAAAAGTGATCAAATGAACGAGAATTTTATGTCCATACTTTAAAGGAACATTACATTCGCGGCAACCAAGAGGTTATTTAAAATATATACTGATATAAAACGATTCATTACTAGATTCATTCCTTACATCATGCAGATAATGATAAAATTGAAAACATCTGAATCTTTCCAATAAACGAAAAGAGTTATCGCAAAAGGAAATGACACGTGTATTTCTCTCATGGTAATTCGTAACGTACGAGATTGTTAAGGTTTCGACTTCACGAGCATTTTCATTCTGCTAAATAAAACAACGCTCATTTGAAAAAAAAATCAATGAACTCAGCTCGAATTCAAATGTTCACTTTGAAATATCACAAATAACTGACAGAGAAGTACCAAAACAATCATAATCATCATACCATTTTTGTGCAAGGAAGTGCACGTTTCGTTAAATTTGAGATAGGCCTCTCGACACTGTTTCGAATTTTGATTTTAACTTCAACGATATCAGAGGTACAGAATCTAAGTTTTGTTTCATACTGCAAACAATAAAAAGTGACGACTAACGCATTGTGTGCATACGAGAGGTCTTCAATTTATTAGGAAACACAATCAAAACACTTTATTAGATCTTATAATTTACAACAACTAATGCAAAGCTATATACATTCATGTAAAGTAGTGTATTATATATATATCCATCTTATTTGAATTGAAAATTGACCGATTATAAATGATTTAGTTGAGGGCTTTATTTTGGACTTTTGAAGCAAACAAAGGTTCTACAGAAACATTGTGAACAAGTTAAACAGATGGGACATATTGTTTCTGCTACCAATGTGCATCGTATTTAACATGGTAAAGATGGTATTCAAAATAGCATATGCAAAACATGTACAAGTGATTCTTTTACCAAACGTCGCACAACAGCTTCTTCTGACCTCCGGTAAAATCCGTAATATAAGTTAACGTATAATTTTGTAAATCCTCCCATAAAAAGAGAAATGGGTGTCTCTAGGCACTGTCAACAGAACTGTCAAGCAAAACTCGGGGAAAAAGTGCCGTGTTCATAGGCTTAGTGAGGCTCAGATATTAAAACGTCGTGCTCGATCATGGCATATATAGCTCCGTCTTAACTGTGGGAAATGGAAAAATTTTGTCACCACAGATGAGGTTATGTTTTATATGGGCAGTAGTTACAGTCGACATTGTATTTGCTACGTTCGAACTAATGAGACAGACCTGAACAAACTGAAGTTTGTAAAACGAGATGCATTTGCACCTAGGTTTATGGTTTTGGCCGGGGTTAGTTTCGTCAAGACATCTCTACTTTTATCAATAAATTGGTAAAATTCAATGCAAAATATTACATAGACAAAGGTATTTCTAAAAAAAAAGATGTTTCGCGATTCTTTCTTAGAAGAGAGAAAATAAGGTATTCTATGAAGACTCGACCTCTTGTCATACCGCTAAAAGACCATTATCTGCACAATGAATTACATAACACCTGCAGAATGGATGCCAAAAAAACAGATAAAGGGATTAATTCTACTTTTCCTAAATGCATACATATGCTGACATATACTTTACAGGCTATTTTACAGACATCATATCGTGTTATCTCATTTCCGCCAGATTTACGAATAAAACTGTGACATGCTGAATTCCATGCAACCTCAAATGGGCCAAAGCAGCAGCTAACATCAAGTGCTTGGAGAAGATGACTACAATGTGATGGTAACACAAACAAATGAATATAACGAGATTTGGCCCACCCAATGATAGGTATGGTAATGTGACTCTTGTGTACATCATAGAGGAGAAGTATGTCATCATCATCCCTTGGAGGCAAAAACTTGACAGGTGTTCCTTAATGTAATTAAAAAATTTCTGGGAGTTAGACCATCCGGACTCAGAAACATCATCATCTGCCCCAGCAGTTGCTCCTTAAAATAAAGAATCGAGCATCCTGGCTCCAGGGAAAAGTAGGGGGGGAAACTTGACCAACACCATTTGCACATCCAATCAAAGTAACCGTTTTGCCTCTAACAGATGTAACTGCTTAAGATTTTGAATATTTTCCTCCAATCACTTTAGATGGCTTATGCTAGGAGCTAAGACCCTTTCCATCAATATTATAAATCCTGTTGGGTTTGTTAAAAAGGTTGTAATTTGTCAGAATATGACCAAGTTCCTCAAAATATGCATCAACAGCCCCATTTGTAACAGACTTTGAACTTTCAATTTCCAAACTAAGTGACTTTTTAAACACGTTTCAGGCCACCTGCCAAAAAACGTATACAACCATCTTTCAGTGAGTGGGTTATCTTTATCTCTAAGGCCTAAATAAACAGCATAGTCAGATGCTAAATTTAAAGTTTCTTGGCTGTAGCCATTACCCACGTTAACTATTTTTTTTAAATGACCAATTAAAAGTGCTTCTTGCTCTTGGTTACACAGGGACTGAGGACCTGATTTAATTGTCTTTATGTCGACTTTGCCATTTAATCTGTCCAATAAAGTTGTTCTAGGTACTTTGAATACCTCGGATGTTTTATTTGTTGACATGTTGTCTTCTTTGACAGCAAAATACCTTAGTCATGTTGTCATGATCATAGGATCTATAAGACAGGGGGTCTGTCTGGCACATGATGCTGGAAAAAATAATTTATATATTAGCATTTATTGAATTAAAAATTAATTAGTAAACAATTAACCTATCTTTAATAAGGAACTATGGTTATGTTGTCACGTTTTTTTCTGTGAAGTATACTTTAGGAATCATTGACAGGAGGCGGACCTTAGATAGTGACCTACATCTGCAATCGAGCCGATTTGTTGTTACAAATATTCAGTCTTTACATAAACATATGAACATTTAAAAGCTGAAATTTTGGGGATAGTGAAAATACAGAAAATAGATCGTGCATACATATTTTACGTGTACTTTTTTTCTCTATTTTGCGTCAAATAAATATGCGTGACATTTCTCTGTTGTTTATAAACAAACGCCCGCACTTGAGAAAAAAAACTTCGTGTGTGCAAAATGAAAAACACCATAGATAAACATTTTGTGCAATGGAAACATTCCAGTGTATTCATTCATAAAGATTATGATGATAAGCAAAATAGGACAATTGCTGCACTTTCAACCCGTCGCGCCGACCAGTCGCGCTAATATGTCGACTTTCTTTCGTATTTAAAGATTAGGGATTTTCCTATATACATACTTGCAGACGCAGCCTACTGTAAACTTTCTGTTAGCCAGACATGAAAGAAAACAAAAGCGCTTGTCGGAATTTGATGTTACCTGGATGACATTTGTATTAACAACTCGGGCACGGAGGGCCCATATGTCATATAAATTCAGATTTGAAACCGCAATAGCTATTGACAGGTTTAATATACCAATAATTAAGGAGCCTGCATGTTATAATTGAGGTTATATACCATGTGTGTTGGTTGTTTGACACTCCGGATCACGACGAATTCACCATAGCACAGTTCGAGCACGCATCGTTCCTGGGCAGGCTGTCAAGTAGTTTACCAGTACTAGTTGCCTTTACTTTCGCAAGGACCTGAAACTTCTGTACGTGACAGAGCAGAGGTACAGTGCGAATGACCTTAGAAATAATTTCATGATCAATCACAACGAAAGTGACCTGCGCCGTCCGGGAATCGACCCGATTCACAGTCCAACGCTCTACCTACTGTGCTAACCGGACGGCTGGTTGTATACCACACTAAAGTAAAATTATATATATTATATGTATATAATTATGCTAATAAAACAATTAACAAACATCGAAGAATATGTACTGCAATTATGTGTACATATTATATGTAATCATTTAAATATATGCATTCATTTCTTATTGAAAAAATTTTACTTAGACATTATAGAAAATAATTTTTTTATTACCTCCCTTTATTTACAGGAAATGTTAAATTCGGTTATATCTTTATAAATAATGCTTTTTGGAAATTGATAAACCTTAATTTGAGCTGATATAAAAACCATAAAAAATTTGTGTTACAGGATGTTTAAAAATCGGTCAAGGGAATACCTTGATATATTGATTATTTCACATATTCATCGTTGCAGAGTTTTGCACTTCCGAACCCATCACACTATTATAATTGCTTTCAATATTTAAGATATTTTGAAAACCTATACTGTAATTTGGTCTTCCTTTTGCGCTATGAACCTTGAAATTTTATCTGTTTCATCTTATAAATAATGTTGCAATCCTTTTTTATCATATTCGTGACAAGAAGGTTATGCTTGAGTAACCCCCGACAAATCTGTACCCGACAATCAAACCAGAACATCTTATTCCTGTACAATATTTTATTATGATTTAAATAAAGCACACATTTACAAAAAAATGTTATACATTTGAAAGCAGCACGCCTCCAGATCTAAGTTTTATTTTATCAAAATGTTTAACTTGTCGCAGTTTTTAAAATTCTTGCTAGCAAAGTGATTAAATCCAGCTAAATGTACTTGCTTTCCACTAAAATTATCTATAACGCCCACAATATGCAGAAACGGGACTTATTACATTGGTTATGGGGTAGAATTATACTGACAGATATAGTACAATATCTGTCTTATTCTACGAAACAACAAGGTCTTCATAGGTCTAGTATTCTAAATAAATATTAATATATTTTCACAAAGTTTGAATTTTTATACATCTGGTGGCGTGCGACTTTATATTTTATATTTTGCATCAGTTCCGTGTGACATATTTTACATAAACGAATGTTAAACATTCTTTACCTCACCCTTTACAATAAATTATGCTCATCCCAGTGCTTCACTTCAGTGTTGCTTTATTTTTCTTGTCCTTCGGGATCAGTGAGTCCATCACTTTTAAGTGTTGAGAATTGAGTAGCGCTCAAGCCGGTTCTAGGGGCGTACAGGATGTTGCACATTTTCATTATCCCACATCTACAGACTCAATCAATCAAGTCTACAATATTCATGTAATTTTGCTGTTTTTAATGCTTCCTGGGATCACTTCTTTAAAGATATTTGTATAAATTACACGACATTGTACTTATATTGCAGACATTTGTTGAACACTGAATACGTGTAATTTGACTAAGCGAAAACAAAACAAAAATATAGTTAGGAAGTTGAATCTTCTCTTTAAAATCTGCTAGTATTTAAAACATGTGTTAAAATTACATAACTGTATTTATTCATACATATAGTGTGTAGAGGTTAAACACATCTTCTCTAACATATATTCTATTCTAAGAAGATGATTATTTTACATACATAGCAATTATCAGTTTTTTAAATATCAAATCTGAGCACAATATATATTAACGAAAAGTATCGAATATAATACACTTTCACATTTTACATACTAGATGAAACGCATAAAAAACAATAAAATAATAATAAAAAATAACACAAAAACAGAACCTTTCTATTTATTTTCAAAATTGCCCCTAGATGCCATTTTGACATTTCTATAAGCACTTATTGTTACGATAGTTTTTTATGTAGATCTGAGTGTGACCCACTACGATCCGATACGGATTTTCCTGCCAACAAATCAAATCGTCCGTACAGTGATGCGAATATATACATTTGCTATTGATTTTGCGTGGCAAAACACATAGAACGTAAACATATGTTTCGAATGTACTTTCTATTGCATATATTCGGATGATTTCATTTTATTGGTATATAAGCGTTAGTGAAGCGCCGCGATTTTTTTCACCCATTACGGTTAAAACTCACGTATGAATCTGTGAAAACATTTTCAAAATAAACAAATATTCGACAAACAAAACTTGATATTAGTAAAAAAATGAAAAAGCATATTTCTAACACACATCAGTTTTGATGATAATCACAACCTGTTCATTTCATAAATTCTTATACCAAGTATATCAAATATATTCAGGTGAAATGTCTATAATCATAGAAGAACTAGTCTAAGATTTTATTTCACATTTTTAAATATGTGTAGTGGTCACTCCGGAACCCTTTCAAAAATCCAAAACTTATCCCGACCTGGATTTGTAGTTGACGTAAGATCGACATGACCGTTCCAATAGGCATAAAGACATAACTGGTGGTCAGTTGCCAGCCAAATCATGTAGCAAGTACTTTCCATTGGTGTTTCAGGATGCACCCTCAAAATATACCACAAATCGGATCCAGCGGGTGGAACACCTTCACTAATGCTCAACTGATGCAGATTATCACAATATACCTGTCTCGGTCGTCGATAACAGTGAGACCAAAGTGTAAAAACATTGCGGTTATAAGGATCGGCTCGAAACTCTATATGGACAGCGGCATCGTTTGAATCGTCGCGAAGAAGAAAATGATGTTCTCGGAATAGTAGAAGTGTACATGGGCGTAAATATTTGGTTTCAAATCTCATAGATTTTATTTTGAATTTTCTCCCACTAAGCTCACTAAGGTCGTCTGTGACAAGTCTATGTCTGTCAAGAAATTGCTTTAATATTAACCAATTATCAAGGAAACAACAACGAAATAGTCTGACACTGCGCGTTGTAGGCTTATACAGAAACCTTAGGACATCACGGTCATTTGTCTTCTGCGCGCTAAGGACACTGCTTACTGAACCGGCATCAACAGAAAAACTGGACTGAATGGCGAATCGGTACAAAAGAAATAACTCCCAATATGTCGCCAAGCAACAGTATAACTGTATGAGTTCGAATAATGTATTTGCCTTTTTAACGTCTGCCGTTCTGACCATTTGTTTTATCTTTTCCCCAAGAAAAAGGACTTCGTCGAGTCCAGTTTGTATAGGGAAGTCGCTTGCGAGAAGTTGTAAATGATGAAATTTCTCACTTGGCGGCTGCAAACCATCAAGTGACGGCAAACCTTGCATGTAAGTTATACAAAGAGCTAGTTTAGTACATGTTGCACGGTATTTAGCAATCAAGTCAGCCTCTATGATTGCAGTAAATCTATTTATCACAACCGATGCTATGTCTTTGCTAAACATGAATCCAACAACCTCTGTGATTACTTTACAAATTATTCCCAATGGAAACGGAAGTAGTTCGCAAGCCCCTAATGCATCAACGGCTGCCTTTGCAAATTTATTTAGTAATATTATGACGTCATCATATCTTGATAGCGGATTATTTCTTTCATTTGTATTGCCTACATCACTAAGGTTTAATCCAGTTATGTTTTGTAAGCAACTATTCAGTTCTACTCTGATGTCATTTCCTATAGGTAAACTTTGAATTTCTGTAGTAAAACGTTCAATATTGACAACACCAGACAACTCCGCCATCTTTGACGTTTATTGTTACGAACATATCTCAATAGTATAATGATATAACAATATTTAATATTCCCAGATATATTTATGTGTAAATAGTTTAAACCACTGAATATCGAGTTATCACAACTATAAATAGGGTTAGTAAATCAAGCACATTCTTAAGTTGCAAATAAATCCATGCATCATTTATTTCAATCGCATAAATGATCAAAAACGCAAGTACATGTAATTTTAACGGTTTCCCATTATTCTATTTATAGCTTCAGCATCACGCTCAATGTAACTACAGGTAATTTGAACTAACTTACATTTTTTATCCCCCAAAAAATGTTTAAAAAGTTAAAATGCAAGTTTTATTCTATTATAAAAATTTAAGTCGTTAATTCTAACCTAGTATCATTCGGCTGATGAATCAATATACAATCTTGATATGTGTGACGTATTCAACTATTTGCAATGACCTTGAATAAAAACGAGTGATATGCATGATCTAACTAATGTAAATTCGTTAATATTTGCGATGTTTTAATTCTCGGTTGGGTCGCGAATACATGATTCCGAGTAGATTTGATAAAGTAACATGTATATATAAATAAGACAAAGGTTTGCGAGTAAAATTAAAAAAAAAAGCCTCGGAAAATTCCGTTACTCGAGGCGTTAGTAATTACTTCGAACAAATACTTCATTTGGCACACTGTTGTTGTAGTTTTTTTATTTTTTAGAATTTTACTGTGTGCTTATGTGTTGTTAAAACATGTGAAAAACTGGAACAACTATGTTAGTTTCACCAAGATTCAACCAAACACGCTTCAAGATGTGTGTTATAATAAACCCCTTGTTGTTCTTGAAGCGTACAACATTCCTCTCGATATGGAAAGGTGCAGAAGTATTCTAGGCAACACCATCGGACATATAGTTTATCTACATATTATTCTTGACAGAAGTGTAAATGTTGGTGATTTCAGGTAACAAATAATAGCTTGTTACCTTGACACATCAATATCAGTGTATAAACCATGAGTATTTTATGTGATCCTACCAGTGATGACATGGTAACTGTCCATGTATATGATAGTGAAATTGTTTGAAAAAAAAAATCATATCCTAAAAAATTGGAAACGGTCAGTATTCCAATTCAAGGATCAATATTAAATAATTTGAAAGTGTATATTGACCACAATAGCAATTGTACAAACAATTCTGACAAAACAAAAAGTCCCAACAGTCTTAACAATAATGATATATCTGAAAAATATTCAGATGAAATAGAAACATATGATGGTAATACTATAGTAAATTTGCCAACAGTAAACAGTGAAATAAGGAAAGCTAACGAAGTCGTGAATGTTTTTTAAATACTGATTTCATCGAAAATAATACTGAAGAAAGTCTTGGAGATGAACAAGAAACTCAACATTTACCAAGCAGAGAACCAGCAAGAAACTGAGGAAACTTCAGATGGTGAAAACCCCCGTAAGAGTTGGAAAATATTTAAAGATAAAGATTCTTGGCAAAAGGAAATCAGAAAGAGGAAACGACAAGCTGGCGAAGAGTATGTCAGTTCACGTGGAAAACAGGTCTCTAGAAAGAGAATAAGGTTTACCGAGGACTGTTTGAAACATTGTACATATAAATGCCAACAAATGTTTTCTGGACATGACGTAGACAGAATTCATATTCAATTTTAGTCTCTGATAGATTCAGAGAAATATTCATTTTTTTTGCAGAGACAACAAACAAAGTTACAAACAGCAGTCGCAAACAGGATTCACGGAGACATTTCACATATGAATTCTTCTTTCTCAAAGGACAAGATAAAGTCAGAGTGTGCAAAGAGTTTTATTTTTCTGTGCTTCAAGTTGATGCCAAACGCGTGCGATTTTTTATAAAAAAAACTTGAGAAAGGTGATGGAAATCAATATAGAGAGATGAGTAATAAATTCACTAAACGAAGAACTGCTGATGACGATATAAACTTTCTACGATCCCATATTGAGTCCTTTCCATGTATTGCATCTCATTATTGCCGTGCTTCCTCCAAAAAGGAATATTTAAAATCGGGATTATCCCTTATTAAAGTGTATGAAATGTACATTGAAAAATGTACCGAGTCAGGAAAGAATCCTCTGAAGATAAATATGTAAAGACAAATCTTTACTGAGCAGTATAATATAGGTTTTCAAGTGCCCAAGAAAGACAGATGCGATTTGTGCGAAGAAATGAAACAAACCAATGAATCACATGATGTGCAAGAAAGATATAGACATCTCGTGATGGAAAAGACTGAGACTAAAGTTGAACGAGAAACAGATAGAGGTTAAGAAGATAGTTTTACAGCAGTGGTGTGCTTTGATCTAGAGAATGTGATCTCTCTTCCTAGCGCAAATGTCTCAAATTTTTTTCTACAAGCGTAAGCTCAACACATTCAATTTAACAGTCCATTGTTCCATAGATAAAGTAGCCTACAATGCAATTTGGACAGAAAATGTGGCAGGAATGGGTGCTAATGAGATAGCAAGTGCTATTGTGATTATTTTAAAAGCTATCACTGATACAAAACCTGAAATAACAGCAATTATACTTTGGTCAGACTCTTGTTTTTCTCAAAACAAAAACTCTATCATAACAACCGCGCTCAAAACATTTTTATCCGAAAGTGAGAGTGTTACAGAAATAATTCAAAAATTTTGTTGTCCTGGGCATTCGTCTATTCAAGAGGTTGACAACATAAATTGCCACATTGAAAAATCCTTAAAGTATGCTGAAGAGTTTACAGTCCAGTTTCTCTGATCAGAGTATTGAAGTCTGTTTGAAATTATTCAGATGCGGAGGAACAAATTCTTTGACTTCCAGAAATGCAATGCTATGCTGAAATTTAAGGACATACCTTATACTAGAGTGAAATGTCTGAGATACATCAAAACACAGCCATTAGTTGTTTGGTATAAGTTGGCATTTTCAGATGATAATTTTACTCAAGATTGTATTAGCGGAATGTCTACACGTCAAAAAGATGTACAGAATTTGCCAGTACCAAAGCTTATAAGTAAGAAGAATATTTGACCTTTCAGATGAGAAGAAAAGAGACCTCAGGAGTATGATTAAATATATTTCAGAAGTTGACAAACAATATTACTCTATAATAGTTTGAAAATGAATATAATGATGCCATCAATTTGAATACTTAATGATTAGGAAAATAATCATTTAGCCAAAAGTAGAGATTATCTAACCAATGATTGTTTATTTCTAATGTTGAAGTTTAAACAGAGTTTGGTGTTTATTTGTTGAAATTTTGTTGTCAGTTTTACGTTGTTTTTTTTTTTTTTTTTTTTTTTTTTTTTTTTTATTATTCACAAGGAAGTGAACAATTTGATAAATGTAATTTCCTTGCAAGGGTAACTCATAACCTATTTCACAGAATTAATTCTGAAATGCTGGGTTTGACAATTAATATCGCAGATTGTAAATTTAACAGGTAAGTTTTGCTTATGTTTTCCCTTGTGAGTTTGTTAACTATGATAATTATCTACCATCTCTGTGTTCATGTATATTCATGCCTTTTGAAGCCTAAAATAGTATTGTGATTGCATTGAAATTTAATTTTGATTCATTCTTTTTATATGGGGCATTTACTCATTTTGAACATACATTTTGTGATATCACTACATTGATAATTATGGTGATGTGGCAAAATCACCTTTTTATTTGATGATATCGCCACTATTGAAAAATGTTCCAAACACAGTTCAAAGATTTGTATTTACATAGTTATGTACTCGTATTAATAATTTCAATAAATTTTGTTGACTAAAAACTTTTATGTTATGGTTTCTCCTTTATAAAATGACCTAAAGTGATTTGAAATACATTTCTGTTTGGTCTAAAAGGCTCTATCTCAATGTGTCTAATGTAAATTGAAAAAGAACAACAAAAAGCCACATCTTTTTTAAAAAAAATTCATATAACAAACAAGTAACAATTCTTCATTAAATTTCTACTGATGGCGTTACTGTTTATACACCCACAAATTAACCCACAAAATTTGATAAATGTTAAGGTCACGGCGTAAAAGTTATGGTCATTTGAACTTTTGAACTCAATTTTCTCAAAACAGAAAAAGCAGGCTTAGGGACGTCTAGAGATGAGCCGACGAAATGAGTAGAAACAACATCCAAAAAAATAAACTTGTCAAATCTCAAACTTTAAATGACCAGTTTGTACCTTCCATTACTTTGTCAAATCAGGAAACCTTAAACCGAGTGTGTCATAAACATTGCCTAACTTACGGTGGCACAAAGGTGACATGTGTGTGTTTTTATTTATCTCGTGCGCACGAGATACTATGTCGTGGCCACGAGTCACTAAGTCGTGGCCACGAGATAGTTAAGTCGTCGGAACGATATACTATGTCGTGGCCACGAGTTACTAAGTCGTAGACACGAGATGATTAAGTTATGGCCACGAGTTACTAAGTCGTGGCCACGAGATTAATTCGTGGGAACAAGATACTATGTCGTTGGCACGAGATAATTAAGTTGTGGGAACGAACGCGATAAGTAAGTCGTGGCCACGAGTTACAAAGTCGTGGGAACGAGATAACTAAGTCTTGCGCACGAGATAATCAACCAATCTGATTACACCATGAATTTTTTAAACTTATAAAAATTCTGTTTAATATCGTGGCTGATTTGTGCCATTCGTGTTTCCGCCCCGCGACTCCGCCAAGCGAAAAGTCGAAAATTTACATGTCAAAATGGCGGGGGCGGTAGCGAAAACATGCTTAATAGCGAGGGCCCGTTGGGCGCGGAGCGAGATTATAGAAATAAAACGGCGTGGTCGCGGTACGAAAACACGCTCACTAGTGGGGTCGAGGGGCGAAGTTTAATATATAAAACTCCGCTGCGCGCCCCCGCTTATAAGCGTGTTTTCGTCTCGCGACCCCGCCAAGCGAAAAGTCGATAATATACATTGTTATAATGGCGGGGCGCGCAGCGAAAACACGCCAATTAGCGAGGACGCGGGACGAAGTTTAATAAATAAAACTTCGCCCCGCAGGAGCGCGGAGCGGGATTTAAGAAATAAAACAGCCGGGTCGCAGAACGAAAACACGATAATAAGCGGAAGGACAATGGTAGGGACAATGCCCATGGATAGTAGATAGCCTATAAGAATGTTTGAGGTCAGGGAGCAAGTTAAACATGACACTGCATGTAAAATCCTTGTCTGATGAATCGTTAAACGATAATTCGTTATAAGCGAGTGCGTTATAAGTGGACTCGACCGTAATTTTCAT